GTTTGCAAAGGACTTTTTATTATTCTAAACCATTTTAAGAACTACACTTATTATTCGGGTACTGTTTTTATAACTCTGCATTTAACACTTATAGCAATATAAATGAATGACCAGGTGTCCATGATTATACTACAATACAATCACAGTAAGTTCATTTATCTATTTGTAGCATTTATGTCCCACCATTCAGCCAAAAAGACACTTAAGAGTGGTTTAGAAATTGTTATTTGTAGAGTTGCTTATGCTTTCTCAGTTTCTCTGCAATGACACAAGGAGCTATTGCACTGATCATACATTGTCATATTAAAAAACTTCTATTGCTTCGCAAACTTGAATACAAGATTAGCTGTATTATTTGTGGTACAAGAACAAGAATCCTTTGAAAGCTGACTAGAGCATGCAGTGTGGCTTTAGTTTCTATAAAAAGGCCTTATTCATTAAATACACACATTTCAAAGTAAAGAGTGCTTCTAGGTTTTTGTTGTGTGCATTCAAACTATCTCCAACTTATGGCAACCTCAAGGCGCATCTATCATGGAATCTTCTTGGTAAGGTAAGTTGAAAGGGGATTTGCTTTTGCCTTCCTCTGAGAGAGTGTGACTTGCGGTGGCTTCCCATAGGTAAGCAGGGATTTGAACCTTGGTCAGAGTTAACAGTCAAACCATGACACCATGATACCTCTGCTTACATTATAATAAATACATTTCAATGAGAACTATGAAGCCCATGCTCCCACTTCTGACATAACTTAAACAAACCATAACTTCTTGTATTATATGTTGTCCTTTAAAAAGCTGCTTGCCAGCTAAAACAAGGACCAGAATTTCTCTATCATTCAGTTGTTTAAAATCCGGGAAGAGGCGGATGAGCTCCCTCTTTCAACTCCAGCTCCTCATGCAGGGACATGAGAGAAGCCTCCCTCAAGGATGATAAAAAACATCAAATCATCCGTGCATCCCCTGGGCAACGTCCTTGCAGACAGCCAATTCTCTCACACCAGAAGTGACTTGCAGTTTCTCAAGTCACTCCTGACACGACAAAAAAAAAGTTGTTTAAACAAATATACTGCCAGAGTGTTAAAAGTCAAGTAAAAACAAGAGCATTTCTTCCCTCATCCTAAAAGACAGGATGCAAAGAGAAAAAAGGAGAAAAGGGAAATCCAAGCAGGCATAGGTCTTAATGTTATATTATTTTAAACTGACACTGTTCCATAGCCGAGAGGCCACCGCTGAGAAGGCCCTGTCTCTCGTCCCCGCCAGATGCACTTGTGACGAAGGCAGGGCCGAGAGCAGGGCGTCCCCAGACAATCTTAAGCTGCTAGATGGTTCATAAGGGGAGATGCGTTCGGACAGGTAAATTGGGCCAGAACCGTTTGGACTTTATAGGCCAAAGCCAGCACTTTGAATTGTGCCCGGTTGCAGATTGGCAGCCAGTGGAGCTGGCGCAGCAGGGGAGCTGTGTGCTCCCTAAGCGCCGCTCCTGTTAGCAACCTGGCTGCCATCCATTGGCCCATTTGAAGCTTCAGGAAGGTCTTCAAAGGCAACCCCACGTAGAGCGCATTGCAATAGTCTATACTGCAGGCTGTACACATTTATGGTAAACTAATATAACATTAATGTTCTGTACAAAATTACTTTCAGGCTATGTGTATAAAGTGTATATGGAACATAAACAGATTTTGTATTTACACTCGGGTCCCATCTTCAAGATATTTCATTATGTATATGCAAGTACTGCATTAAAAAAAAACCAAACTACTTCTTATCTCAAGCATTTTGAATAAGGAAGACTTAAATTGTATTAGTCTTTAAGGTGCCATAGAAGCTCTTCTGCTGGTCCAGGTTATTTGACCAGCGGTATCTCTCTCTACGAATCTGTCAGAGCCTTCTCTGTGTATCCCACCCCCGGCTCAAGCATGTTTGGTGGGAACAAAAGAGAGGGACTTTTTGGCAGCTGCTCTAAGCCTTTCTAGAGCCCCACCCAAAAAGAGACCAGGATGACCCCATACCCCCTGGACTTCCAAAAGCAGGTCAAGACATCTCTGTGCCATCAGGTATTTGGGGTGAGGATGAGGACACACTGCTGGGGTGGTTCAGGTCCAGGCTATCTGACTGACCATACCCCTTTTCCGAACCTGTCTGGGCCATGAGATCTTCAGGAGAAGCCCTTCTCTTGGTCCCATCTCCATTGCAAGCTCCATTGTTAGGAAGGAGAGAGCAGACATTATTTCATAGGGCCCTTCCACACAGCCATATAACCCAAAATAACAAGGCATTTGAACTGGATTATCTGAGTCCACACTGTCATATAATCCAGTTCAATGGGAATTTTATAGGTTCTTAATTTATAGTATATGTTATTGTCTAGAAATTATGATTTGGTTTTCACATGTATGTACAGCATTGAATTTGGCCACTGTTATGCTGGAAACTGCTTTGAGTCCTCTCAGCTCAATAAATGAATACATATAAGGTGTTTTTATTTTTTTGGGGGGGGGGGTTAGTTTTATAGGTTTTTGAGATTGTTTTATCCATTATTTCTGACTGGATTCGTTGTTTGTCTGTCTTGGCACTGAATGTTTGCCAATTGGGTTACAAACAAGATATTGTTATTATTATATTACTAGCCGTCCCATGCCACGCATTGCTGTGGCCCAGTCTGTGTATGTGTTTTGTGTGTATATATGTGTTTATGTGTATTTGCCTATATATATGGGGTTCTGCGCATGTGTTGTAATGTATTTTTTGCGTTTTGGCTTTTTAACTCTCTTCTGCTGTGTTTTTCAGTGTTTTTATGAGTGATAGTCACTCATTGGCCTGACAGGTGTATTGTGTTTAAATTTGGTGTCAATTCGTCCAGTGGTTTTTGAGTTATGTTAATCCCACAAACAAACATTTTATTTTTATTTATATAGATTATTATAATAATTATAATAATAACTGTGGGTGGGATTATGAGGGGGATGGTGAGTTTCAAATGCAATTTTAATTGTGTTTAAACTTTAAAAGTAAGCACACGTATGTCTTTTTTCTTTTAAAAATTGTATTTGTTTTGCATTATGGTTTTATTATTATGAACCACCTTGGGCTCTCCGATCCTCTGGGGAGGCCCTGCTCTCGCCACTGCCAGTGTCACAAGCTCGCCTGGTAAGTACAAGGGAGAGAGCCTTTTCTGCTGTGGCTCCCTGACTCTGGAACTCATTGCCTGGAGAAATTAGGAAAGCCCCTTCTCTAGAAGTTTTTTTAAAAAACCTTAAAACCTGACTCTTCCGCTGTGCCTTTAATGAGTAGCTATACAATTTCACATGACTGTTTTCAGCCTCAAAGTTCTGTCATTGGAGTAGACTCCCCCCCCCTCGTGGGAAAGCCTGACTCCACAACCCCCATCATAATGAGCCCTCCTCCGCAAATTATCTGCTTCTCTCTTTTATCTTGTCTGAGTTTTTAATTAGATTTAATCAGTTTGTCTTTTAATCATTACATGTAGCCCGCCTTCTGTCACTGTGCCTGTGTCTATTGTAATTTTTACATTGTTATTGTTCTGGAACGGCTGTTCCAGGGGCTCCAATTTTGTGCTTTGCACTGAGTGTTTGGTCATAGTCCTAACTTGCAGGGACTTTGCAGATAGGTGGCTTCCTTTGGCTGCATTCATAGGGCAAGCCACCTGTCAATTATAGTTAGGATCCCTGGTCCCGCCCCTCTCTGGGTTTTTTGGAGGGAAGGGGCCATTTTTCAGTTAGTCTCAGTAAAGGAAGTCAATGCAGAGGATGTATACAGACGTCGTCCTGTACAAAGGCTTAGTCCCTTAAGACTTCCCGGGGGAGAACAGTCTTAAGAGCCTCTAAAGATTCCCAAAGGTTCCGGGGAAACAGTTTTACAGCCCTGAGGAATTCCAGAGGGAATAACAGCCCTAATCGTCAAGATCTCCAGCTAAGTGACTACAGGCCTGCTGGTACGTCTGCTCGGTTCTGAGACATTCAGCCGGTAGTGGATTCAAATCAGTCAGGTTTAGGTTCACAGCAGCCTGGGAGGAGCTAGAAAGGGGAATTTTCCTTTGAACAAAGTTATTGAAGATAGTGCCTGTTCCCTGTGGACAAGTTTGAGAGAACGGGCTTTTGCCAAGAAAGCTTTACAATTCCTGTTTGTTCATCAATAAAAGACTGTTATATTTAAGCTCAAGCCTCCTAAAGACTGTTTAATGAGGGAAATTTCTCTAAAGGCTTCATTTCGGGCCCTCTAGCTTCCCGCTGGATTCAAGCCATGTATCCTCTCTTAAAGGCACTTCATTTCAGGTCCAGCGGCGACAGAACAGTTATGTATCCACATGTTTTATGTATTTATTATGTTATTGTTTATTGTTCACATTTTCGGTTGTATCTTGGTTTTTCTTTATTGCAATTGTTGTTCGGACTTGGCCCCATGTAAGCCGCTCCGAGTCCCCATTGGGGAGATGGTGGCGAAGTATGAATAAAGATTATTATTATTATCAGCCACCTTGAGTCCCGACGAGATGTAAACAATCATAATAATGTTGTATCTATATTTGCAAATACTTATTTAAGGTATATAGCAGGCATGGGGAAACTTTCCCTCCAGGTGTTTTGGACTCCAACTCCCACAATTCCTAACAGCCAGGCTGTTAGGAATTGTGGGAGTTGCAGTCCAAAACACCTGGAGGGCCGAAGTTTCCCCATGCCTGCTTTACAGTCTGAAGGGACAGTGCCTTCAGGAATGGGCAGAACAAGGCTACTCTTTCTACCCCACAGAAATGCCCAATGCACTCCAACTGTGGTGTTGCGTTTGATATCTCCATGTCCCCCCATTTTCCTGAGGCGAGCGGCCCCAACAGGGCGGGCTTCTGCTTGGGGAAGAAGGGAAGTGCCCTGGAGAGGGCCAGGAGGCAGAAGGGCTCCCCCACAGTAGGGCTACTAACACGGAGGCCCATACACACGTCCCCCTCATACACGTGGCAGCCCACTCGGGGCTCACGCTGCTACTCACTAGCGCTGCCTGCTGCGACCAGGAAGCCCCTCGCGACCGGAACCAGCGTCGCCGTCAGCGCCTTCCCCCGCCCCTCACGTCGGGCTGCGCTTCCGCCCGCTGAGAGACGCAAGAAACCCCACGCCGCGCGCCTGAGGAGTCGCGTGCCTTGCACTGCGCATGCGCTTAGGTAGAGAAGCCGGGAGACGAGAGCGCAAGCCCGTTGAACTCACAAGGAGCGCGCGGAGGCAGGGAGGGAGGGGGCGGGGCAGAGGACAAAACCTCAAAGCGTGCGCGCGGCTGTGCCGGCGCCTGATAGGTCTGTTCCGAAAGTGGGCGGGACGAAGGGGAAAAAAGAGTCGGGTGTTGAAACTACAAAAAGGGGAGCTGATCAATGATGTCACTTCCGGGAGCCTCCAGATCTGTACCAGGCTATGTGGGAACATTGGCCTTTTATGTCAACCTTCATCCTCCAAGTTTAGGACTTCAACTCCCAGAAGTCCCAGCCAGTTTGGCCAACAGTCAGGAATTCTGGGAGCTGAAGGCCAAAACATTTGGAGGACCAAAGGTTAGGAAACGCTGCCCTACATTATTATTATTATTATTATTATTATTATTAAACTTTATTTGTACCCCGCTAGCATCTCCCGAAGGATTCGATGCGAGCTTACACAGGCCGAGGCCTCAACACACAACACAACAATACAATCTAAGCAAATCAAACAATTAAAAACAGAATAAAGCAAAATAAACAACAGGCACAATACACTAAACACAATAAAACTGGGCCGGGCCAGAGTAATGGGTACAAGATTAAAAGTGCTGATGTGACAGGAGGTGTATATAGGGCTTCCAGGGCAAGTGCGATGTGCAGCAATCATTGGTGCTTATGGGACCTGGTAGTGGAGATTTCCTAATCTGGGAAGGCGCATCGGAAAAGCCAGGTCTTCAAGTTCTTTCTGAAGACAGCCAATGTAGGGGCCTGTCTAAGGTCTTTGGGAAGGGTGTTCCAGAGTCGGGGGGCCACCACGGAAAAGGCCCTGTCCCGTGTCCCCACCAAGCACGCTTGAAGGGCATCGTGTCCATTTGTGGCCTACTTTGCTCACCTTACACGCATCAGTCCTTCTTTTATATTCTGAGGTCAGGAATCTGTGCCCTCTATATAAATAAAAATGTAATGTTTGTTTGTGGGATTAACATAACTCAAAACAACCAATGGACATTTTGATGAATGACAGGCAAACTGAATACCAAGAGACCACCCTTGGGCAGACCTCATATTTGATGGGAGAAACCAATGGTTAAGCTATTTGGCCAGAAATGGAAAAGAGAAGCAAAGGATTGTATATTTTGGCAAATGGTAGATTTGTAAAGGAATGGATCAACAACAAATAGCATAGGATAATTATAATTAATAATTTATTGTTGTGGTTAATAATAATAAATGTTACTTCCCTCTCCTTAGGGCTTGGGTATATGGTGAACTACTGTCTACAGCAGGGGTCCTCAAACTAAGGCCCAAGGGCTGGATGCGGCCCTCCAAGGTCATTTACCCGGCCCTCGCTCAGGGTCAACCTAAGTTGATGTGAGGGTGATCTGGCTATGACATCTGTCACCCCATTGATCGCCAGGGTTGATTCGGCTGATCTGGCTAGCTAGGCGGGTGTCCCCTTCCTCCTTCACCACTCCAAGGTCATTTACCTGGTCCTCACTCAGGGTCAACCTAAGTCTGAAATGACTTGAAAGCACACAACAACAACAACAACAACAATCCTATCTCATCAGCCAAAAGCAAGCCCACACTTCCCATTGAAATACTAATAAATTTATATATGTTAAAATTGTTCTTCATTTCAATTCTTGTATTGTTTTAAGTGTTTTTTGCACTACAAATAAGGTATGTGCAGTGTGCATAGGAATTCATTCAAATTTTAATCCGGCCCTCCAACAGTTTGAGGGACTGTGACCTGGCCCTCTGTTTAAAAAGTTTGAGGACCCCTGGTCTACAGTATGTTCCAGGTTTTCCTTCACCTGACATCACAATGACATGATGCTAACAAGGCCTCCCAAAGTGTCCCATTTAACATGACATCAAGTGTCAAACAGGGATGCATTAATTGCTTCAACCTTGTTTTCCACATTCATGGCTATGATTGTGCACCTTGTTAACTGAAAGTTTTCCATCAATGTAGAAATCACCTATCAGACTGATGGCAACTCTTTAGCCTCAGCAGACTGAAAACAAAAAATAAGGCCACAAAAGCTTGTTATACAACTTCAGTATGATGATGATGATAATGTAGTCTGTGCTCATTCAGAGGAAGACCTACAAACCACTTTAAACACATTTGCAGAAGCATATGAAAAGCTTGCCTCTCATTGAACATCAAGAAAACCAAAGTGCTCCATCACAACCAATCCCTCTGCAATTCCAGAAATAAAGCTTATTTATTCATGACCTCATGGACCAGCCCACGCCAGAGCTGTCAACCATGGCTACTCCCAGTTCTTTCAAAGTCAAAACAGTCACTTCAAGGACACCATCCATCCATCTTGCCTTTGGTCTGCCCCTCTTGCTTTGTCCTTCTATTTTCCCCAGCATCATTGTCTTCTCCAAGCTTTCCTGTCTTCTCATTATGTGGCCGAAGTACTTCATCTTGGCCTCTACTATCCTTTCCTCTAGTGAGCAGGATAATAAATAAATAATTACAAATAAGTAACTACTTAACTCAGAGCTTTTCAAACATTTCATATTAGTGACACACTTTATAGACATCATTTTGCAGCACAGTAATTCTCTTTTACTAGCAAACTGGAGGTTAAATCAACCCCTTATGAGAGATACAGACACATACATGAATTGTCATAACAAAAAGTATGGGGACCCAACATACCTAATGAAAGCCTATCATTATTCCCTTCACATCGGTTCAGAGGTTTATTTGTTATGTTTATAAGGCATGTGGTGGTACAGTGGGTTAAACCACTAAGCGCAGAACTTGTTGACCAGAAGGTCAGTGGTTCGAACCCTTGGGACAGAGTGAGCTCCTGTCATTAGTCCCAGTTTCTGCCAACCTAGCAGTTTGAAAACATGTAAGCTTGAATAGATCAATAGATACCACCTCGGTCGGAAGGTAACGGCACTCCATGCAGTCATGCTGACCACATGACTTAAGAGGCATCTACGGACAACGCTGGCTCTTTGGCATAGAAATGAAGATGAGCATCACCCCCCAGAGTTGAACTCAACTAGACTTAAGGTCAAGGAGAAACCTTTACCTTGTGTGGCACACATACACAATGAAGCTAACACACAAATGTGTCACAACACCGTTTAGAAAACTTAATTCACTCCTTTTCTCCAGTAATTAAGGTGGAACTATGTTCTATCCTACTTACTTACTTACTTAGGCGATCCCTCGTTGGATGAGTAAGATGGTCTTCCATGATGGGTTTCCTTGTGGAGCTGTGAAGCCCTATTCTTGACCCGCATCTTCTCCCACAGTGAAGGCATTGGTTTCCAGGTGGAAGGCGGTCCTGGTCGGGGTTGGCTTGAAGCACCTTCCTCCTGGCACGTTTCTTTCTTTCACCCTCGTACCTCCTCGTGCCGCCTCGAATTCTGCAGCACTGCTGGTCACAGCTGACCTCCAGCTGGAGCGCTCAAGGGCCAGGGCTTCCCAGTTCTCAGTGTCTATGCCAGAGATTTTAAGGTTGGCTTTGAGGCCATCTTTAAATCTCTTTTCCTGTCCACCAATGATCCGTTTTCTGTTCTTAAGTTCAGAGTAGAGCAACTGCTTTGGGACATGGTGGTCAGGCATCCGGACAACGTGGCCAGCCCAGCAGAGTAGATGGAGTCTATCCTAATTTATGAAGGGATAAGGTACACATCACATCTTTGACAAAACAACTGTAACTTTAAAAAAAAGAAAAAGAAAATAAACTTAGCAGTGTGGACTATGAATTAAAGCCCAGAATTGACTGATACCTTTATTGGTCCACCAAAGCATCATTTGAAGTATTCATATCCTTTAGAACTTTTCATTACATAATCTGGAATGGGAAAGTAACATTCCAAGATCTGAAAGGACAAATTCTTTTTTTTAAAATCATGCTCAATGTAGTTGTTTATTTTCACATTAATCCTAATTCTTCAAATTGTCCTAAATCTTTTTGTCTTGATTGTGCTTTGCTTCCTTCATTCTCATTCTCATTTTAAAGAAGAATGTCCCTTAAGGAACATTCACCAAAAGAACATATGAATGGCTGACTTATGTAATGCTTTGACATTTGGCATTCCCATGGTATTATCCCACACCATCACTGCAGAATAAGCTGTCAGAGCATGAAATTGGTATTTTTACATATTCTTAATGTACAGATGTCAGTCTGAAAACCATTCACTGGGGTTAAGATTATATTCTTTGTTTCACTCTATTCATATGCGCAAATCTGTTGGGTGATTTCTTTCTTTCTTTCCTTTTTAGAGAGACAAACCTTGGAGAAAGAATTTAAATTAATAGCTCCAGCAAAACAGCCCCAGCGAACTATAAGGCACGGTTTGATGATGAATGCAAGATAGACAATATAAATCCATGGCTGCAGTATTCTGTTTTTAGCACCTGTGTTTCTGGCACACTAGCAAAAAGTGAACAGGAGCCAAATGCAAATTGGAAATATAATCAGTGACCCATTTTCTGGGGCCCAGTTTATCAGCATATTCCACATCATATGTGTTCACGGTGTACAGGTGTGCTATTCTGTATTAATTACCTTGAAAGACTAGACCTTAGGGAAGAGTTGAAATTCCTTAAAAAAATAATGTTTGTATTGTGGTTGGAGTGGGCTAGAGAGACTTTGAAAAATGTTTCCATATAAGGATGCAAGTTAATTTGGGTTTCTTTGGAACAATAGTAAACATCTTGTGATACTTAAATTAGCATGTGTGAAATTGAATCCAAACAAGACAGACGTCCTCCTGGTAAGTCATAGAATCATAGAAACATAGAGTTGGAAAATACCTCATGGGCCATCCAGTCCAACCCCCTGCCAAGAAGCAGGAACATCACATTCAAAGCACCCCTGACAGATGGCCATCCAGCCTCTGTTTAAAACTCCCCAAAGAAGGAGCTTCCACCACACTCTAAGGCAGAGAGTTCCACTGCTGAACAGCTCTCAAAGTCAGGAAGTT